AGAACAGAGAATTAATCCAAGATACTTAGCTTCAGACTTGGTTTCTATATCAGTATCATCAATTTTGCAAGGGTCACAGGAAACAACGGCTTCATTCAACTTTCGTTTACATCAGAAACTGAAATTAACGGTCTGACATTTGGAAGGATTTCGTTTAAGGCCGTTAGACGAAGACCATTCACTAATTCCTGATATTCTCATCACAAGAATCTCCACAAACTTTAGTATACGTCGCTAACACATTTCATGCATAGATTTGAAAGATGTGTAATCTGGATGGTGTTATTAGAAGACGCAGATTATCTGAAAAATGTATGTAATTGCGCTAAACATTTCGAACTATCTGATCACACATCTACTTGTGAAGACGATAGATGTGGAAAAAACTAAGGGCAGTTAAATTAAACGAAGTGACAAAGAAAAGATTTAAGAATAATTAACGCAACGTTTGGTAATCCAATTAAATAAGGATTACCAAAGTAGGTTAACAATAATAATAAACCGTTTATGAACGCACAGGGGTGGTTGGGCCTAAATTTATGAACAACTCTAGCCTCAGCATATTTCAGTATGCGCCCTTGACCATTTTTGTAGATGACCTTAAAAGCTGTATTAACATCAATCTTATGGATCATATCGACTAGATGTTTGGCCGTACATGAAGTTGCCCGTCTCTCACCTGCGTCCATTGATTTCCCACAATCCATTTGTCTTTCTAACCATTTCGCGATATGCCCTCCCACCCTCACATGAAAAGCATGATTACTCCTCCCTATGTATGTGTGTCCACACGCACACACACACGAAAATTGGTAAGCAGTGTTGGTCGTGGCATAATCACTTGTGCACTTTTGAGGTTTGCAGTGGAGCATATTCTTGGCTTTTTCGACAATTACAAGCTGGGCTGCATAATAGGTCCTACGGATGACCGAATTTAATCTTTGTCTCAAAATCCTACTGTTTATTTCAACATCATATGGTAATTTGATGAGAACGTTTCTCCTAGGGGCTGTATAGATGGTAGGTTTAGAGACTAATCGACTTCTACACCTGTTTGAAAATTTTCATTTGCTTTCTCTATAACAAAAGCCGTGCAAATACGCTGAATCCTCTTAAATAAGCATTTCACCAAGCTTCTCTTATGGTGTAATGTACAGAAGTTGTGAAAATTAAGGCTTTGCCCTGTCCAAGTAGGTTTTCTGTAAATTGATCGTCTAATTGAACCATTATCTCTTCGACTCAGAAATATATCTAAAAGTGCAAGCTGCTCGCGACCTTCTTCCTCGCATGTCAGACTTATGTGATTCTGCACAGAATAAAGTCTATTTAGTAGATAACTCGCATCTTCATGATCATCTCTCATCAAAATGATATAATCTACATATCTCCGACAGAAGAGTGATTTAGAAATTAAATGGGGCAAGTTCTCAACATAAGACATGTGAACGTCCGCTAACGAAGGTCCTAATTGACCCTGCATAGCAATACCATCCACTTGTCGAAAGTGCTCACATTCAAACGTGAAATGGACGTTATCAGTACATAATAATAATAATAATAATAATAGAAGGGAATGAAAAACAACTAGAAGAAATATAGTCACAAAGAATATCAACGGTCTTAATCAAAGGTACATTAGTAAACAAGGAATTAACATAAAAAAAAACACATTTTCCTATCTTTAATGTCCATACGCAGCTCTCTCCTTGCATTTCATCTGGTAGAACTAGAAGCAACTATAGGAAGCTATATGCCAGGACTACCAAGTATAAAAACTCCACAATACCTTATCTGGCACAGCTGTTATGTGATGAGAAAACTGTTGGGCATGACATGACCAATTTACTGCGGCACTCTAACAAATATTTCCCATTAACTTTTGTTCTCCTTTCTTTGTTACTATTATATTGTTGCTCATATATTCTATTACAGACTAATTTTATATATCATATCCTGTGGTGCATTGTTTAAATATGTGAATGCAATGCTGTTCTTTTTTATTTCTCTTTTTCTTTTTGTTATTGTTGCTTTATATTTCTAAATCCTTATATAATTTAAGAGGTAATTAGATGCAATATTGTAATGAACGCTGAAAATTCCATACCTGTACCACAAGTACTGTTTGGAATAAAGCCATTATTATTATTCACATTTTCCTATCTTTAATGTTCATATCTACAAGACAGTCAGCAAGTTCAAATGTATCTTTCGAAGTAAACTTGCATAATTCCTTGCATGCTGCACGTAAAACATCAGCTAACCACTTTGATAATTTATGTGTAGGAGAGTGACACATTGATAGAATTGGACGTTATGGATTATCAACCTTAAGGAACTTGGGTAGTCCATAAAGGTTTGGAAAGTCAGATCCCATGGGTTTCAGTGAATTAAACACCTGTTTATCGATAACACCCACGCCACGGAGTTTTACGAACTGCGAAGTTACTTTTCCTTCCAAATTTCTGATATCATCAGAAGGAACATCGGCTACGAATTTCCTCTTGTCATTAAGAATGAATAACATTTTTGTTTTATGATCACTTTGATCTATTAGAACTACACCAGATCATTTGTCAGGTTTCAGAATAACTGAATCGGATCTGTTACCTAATTCCTCTAGGGCTCTAAATGAGTTGATGTCAAAAAGCTTTTTTTCCGACTTGAATTACGGAATTGATGTGATATTGTGTTGAAAGCTGGCTGCTAGGCAAAGTTGGTAGACACTAATTTACGTCAATGTTTATTTCCCCAATACTGGTCGTGAGAAAAATGAGAACAAAGGCTTTGCGTAGGCGGAAACAGTTGGCATATAGATGATATGTTGCCTGGCCCTTGTCTTCTGTTGTTACAATATATCTACAAAAAGATGTGCAATCACCATTTATATGTCGTGTGTCTGTAATCAGCTTCTCACCGGGAGAGCTTGGATGTCTAATTTCACCATGGGTTGATTCAACAGACTCAATCTAAATTGATGTTAGATGGTCTGATGCAGTTGACAGGAAGCCATAAACTTGTGTTTCAATCTGCTTCTGAAGCCACCTAGAAATATGTATATATAAGATGAAACCCTTACCTGCATTGATCGATAAATCCCGTCTATGTACGTGGGAAGACAATCACGTTAAAATGTATTTGCATGCATATGTTGATCAAGTCAGTAAATATTTTCTACGGAATACACTTATATCAATATCTTCTTCAGTCTTACCGTCTTTAGTTGAATACACTGCCTTCTTATTAACTGATTATGCTGACATCGCTCGACCTACAATCATTTCACGACACATTCCTATCGCGATGAATCTAATTCGCCTATACTCATTCTCTTTCATAGACATTATTATTCTCACCTGTCCGCCTCAACGATGATGGTCATCATACTTTCAGCTGTGTGTACCATCTCATGTCCATCACGACTGTCATTTGACTAACTATGTTAGGTGTACTTAGAGATCTGTGTGCCTCACCGTTGACGCAACACTATCACCTCTCACATACATTTTCAGTTGCCTTCATCAATCTTATTCCTATCATTCACATCATCGTCATAATGATGATGATCTTTTAATTAAATGTTCTCGTCACTCATTACTACACGGAAATATGTAGTCAGTCTCTCCCTAATCTCAACACACTATACCCACTCGTCCCACCCACCCCACAGACACGGCTAGCTGTCCCTCACTCATGAGTCAACACACAAATTTACACTCGATCATCTCATATGACATCACGTGACACACACAGAAACTTCAAAATCTCAAAATCGAAGTCAGATTAATGGAATACAATGTGAAAATTTCCAATGCACATATCTGTATCCGACCGAAACAACACTGATGGTGGGAATACAAGTCGAAAAGTGCAAACACGTGGTTACCTTGAGAATTGTTAATCAGGTGATGTGGCGATCAGTACACAAATTGAGAGCAGATCTTGTGATGAAGAGTTCTCACCTAACTTATTATTGTGACATATTTGTTCAGGTTGGCGAAAATATGTCTTACCACAGTGATGACGAGTAAGAAATGACACGATTCTGACACCTATTTGAATCACGATCACGTTGTTTACCACATTCATCGGGCTTGTCATATGCTCTGTGAAATCGATTTTATTTTATAAATGAATATGATAAAGCTAATAGAATTGTGGGTAAAATTTATTTTGATTAAGTCCTATAGTGTTATAGAGCTATATCTACTGAATACGTTTCGAACACATTTTATTGCTCACAAAAAAATTTCAACCACAATGGAATTATACTCTATCACAGCGCACAATTTCTATTCTTATATCTATGACAAAGCTAACTGACATATCACCCCACGGGACTTCTCAATAAACACGTAAACAAAAATCAAAAGTCTGACATTTATTTTTTTAACATTTATAACCAATAGTCATTTCATGATAGTATTAGGCAACTTTCAAGTTAGTATATGCATATATTTCTATTAAAGTTTGGATACAGAGCATCCACCCAACAAAATGAATTAAAATTCCATAGACTCTGGTAAATTAAACCTCTTCTTCGAAGTCACCATCATTGACAGTTGCATCTTGATATTGTTGGTATTCACTCACCAAATCATTCATATTCGATTCAGCCTCAGTAAACTCCATCTCATCCATACCCTCACCAGTATACCAATGCAAAAATGCCTTACGTCGGAACATAGCGGTAAACTGTTCAGAAACTCGCTTAAACAGACCCTGGATAGCCGTATTATTCCCGATGAATGTCACTGACATTTTCAATCCACGTGGAGGAATATCGCAAACTGCTGTCTTCACATTATTCGGAATCCACTCAACAAAATAACTCGAGTTCTTATTCTGTACGTTCATCATCTGCTCATCAACTTCCCTCATAGAAATACGACCACGGAATATGGCAGCCACAGTTAGGTAACGGCCGTGTCGTGGATCACACGCAGCCATCATATTCTTCGCGTCGAACATTTGTTGTGTTAGTTCAGGAACCGTGAGTGCACGGTATTGTTGACTCCCACGACTAGTGAGTGGGGCGAAACCAGGCATGAAGAAATGAAGACGTGGGAATGGCACCATATTCACAGCCAGTTTGCGTAGATCGGCATTCAGCTGACCAGGGAATCGCAGACACGTTGTCACTCCCGACATCGTCGCACTCACCAAGTGATTCAAATCGCCGTATGTCGGGTTGGTTAATTTCAGCGTCCTGAAGCATATATCGTAGAGTGCTTCGTTGTCAATGCAGAATGTCTCATCAGTGTTCTCGACGAGTTGGTGGACGGACAGTGTGGCATTGTATGGTTCGACGACGGTGTCTGACACCTGGAAAATACACGCGTAAATTACATCTATTGTTAAAAGGAAAACAGGAGTTATTGCAATACTTCACATTCTATGATAGTATTCAATGAAATGTTATGCAAGACTAAAATAACTACGGCTATGACCCTAACAATGTTTATGTGAGTGAGTTTAATTCAGCTCTGAGAAATCGATGGCGACACTGAATAATAAATAAATCCACTTACTTAAAATGACTAGAATAGTGATGTGGAATATAAGCTTCATCGAAGTATAATACTGTGCTCTTTGAGAGTGATTTGTTAGATGACGAGTGAATATTGAATTCACTCACTATGTTGAAGAGAGTAGGACAACTAATGAATGATTAGTGTCTGATATTATCTGGTAAACGAAGATGAATCATCCCCGTGCGTATTTATGAATATTCAGTAAGTAGCATTATATCAGTCACACACCCTCCTTACGCTTCCTCATCTCAGTGAAGATTCCTTAGTTCATATGACAGGTTGCGAGCTAAGCTGAATTTTGGAGATAATCTCGTCTCCATTTATTTGACGAATACAAAGCTTTCAAATTCAAAGGATATCTGGTCATCCCAACACTCCATTCTTGAAATCGTCAATAATACTCATTCACATAAAATACAAATTCTCCTTGGAATCTCAAAGCCCTATTCACCTTGTATCATCATGCAATATTTAAATCTAAAATTCAACTTCCACTGATATTCACAAAACACGCGAGAAAAACTCGTGAAATATATTTCGAATGACTATGTCAGACACGTACTTTACTCACTAATCACAGAAATGTAGTATGTGACACATTTCAGAGTTGAGAGGAGAACAAATGAAACGGGTCAACCAAGAAGTTGAAATTGAAGATCAACACAGTAAATGTAAGAAAGCACTACTCTGAACTAGCCAGCCATAGTTTCTAAAGTCGCTATGGTATAATGAAGAGTTCTATTGATAACATATAAATACCGTAAACCACCTACTGTGAATAATACTTTGACAAATCTGAAACATGTAAGAAGCTTCACTCACCCACTCAGGAATGAAGAGCAGTTGTCGTTGTCTTCTACAGATGTCAGCGATACACCATCTCGCAAAACATTTATTCGAATCACAACTGGGCTGCAATCAACTGTCACTTATCACTTATCGTTAAGATATCGTGAGCAAGTGATTTCTAAAGGGAACATTTAATCCAATCTTCGGATCACCTGAATAAGTGCTAATAAGCTGGCGACAATTCCTGTCGGATGATGCTGTTCCCGGAAAAACTCAGATGTCTTTTGATCTCATCAGACATCAAACACCACATTCATGCACTGAGTAGAACGACACCGATACTCTCATTTCACATCCTTTCCACCCAATTGAAGAGCCAAATACTGAGGACATGAATTGGAGGATTTGAGGCTATAACAGAGAGAATACACTCAGAAATGTCCTACAGTTAGCAAGGGTGCCTGTTAGTAAGGGGTAACCAGTGCCACCAGAGAAGCACTCCTGCCCTACCTAGAACTGACTGACACCACAATTTACCAATTAATAAACAAACTACATCTGCACACCAACTCCACATAAAAACGAGTATATGTTAGTTAGATAAATGCCTAGACTAATGCGATCCACTACAGAAAAGACAAGCAGTAATGCATAAATTTTCACTCACCTTAGGAGACGGGACAACAGAGAATGTGTTCATTATTCGATCGGGATATTCCTCACGGATTTTCGAGATCAACAGTGTTCCCATACCTGAACCCGTTCCACCACCAAGTGAATGAGTCAACTGGAAACCTTGAAGGGAATCCGTGTTCTCTGCCTCCTTACGCATCACATCCAACACTGAATCGACGAGTTCGGCGCCTTCTGTGTAGTGGCCTTTAGCCCAATTATTTCCAGCACCGCTGTGCCCGAAAACATAATTGTCTGGTCGAAACAATTGACCGAATGGACCCGCACGAACACTGTCCATTGTTCCTGGCTCCAAATCGACTAATATCGCACGTGGCACGTATTTGCCTCCTGCCGCTTCATTGTAGTAAACATTAATACGTTCCAACTGCAGATCTGAATCTCCATGGTATGCTCCTGTTGGATCAATCCCGTGTTCGTCAGAAATCACCTCCCAAAACTAAACACCACATGTACAGTAACAATAAACAACAATGAAAAGCACATTTAAATCAGTCACTGAACTCATGTCACTTTCATACTTCCAAATTTAATTTTAATGTGTTAATTATTCCATACAAATATTCACTTCATGTAATCATCGCAACAATAATACTGATGGCAATCAAATGACAGGTATCGTCCATATACTTTACGATAAACAAATACCACGGACCCAAAAGTTCTGATTCAAAGTGAGTTCTGATGTGTGTGTTTCTCAAAGACATAAGAGATCTGAACAAATAACACCTTTTGATATCACTACATGCAGTCGATATCGCTATAGACCCACTGATGCATAAATAAATTCGACTAACCGAGTACTGAATGAGATTCTATCACAGTGTCCAAGTTCTACTCTTGCAGTGATGAGAATAGCAGACAAACTAAACTGAAACTAACTTGATATGATTATGAGTGGCAATAGTTTGTGCTCGAAACGTCACCAGTTAGTAATATTACTGTATAACACTGAGTGATTCATCAAAATAAAATCTTAACCATAATGGAGTTATACTCTACCACAGTGCCGAAGTTTCATACTTATATCAACAAAACTAAATTGAAATTGATCGTTTCATTTGACTACAAGTCATCACCTACTTCCTCACACCAAAGGCTAAATAAACTCTACAGAAATGCTTCTTCGTAAAGTAGATGCATGAAGGACAGAATTTTCGGTAAAATACATTTCAGATGGAAAACCACCACTTTACCTTCGATCCAATTTGATTACCGCACTGGCCAACTTGAAGATGAACGATTTCACGCATTGTATTGTATTATAATATGTGAGCCTAAGTTATTTGTAATGCGAATGTTATCCAAACGTTTTTTTAAGAAAAAAGGGTGAACTAACGTTTATATAAATAAATGATCAGGTCATACGCCTGTGTGTTTATGTGTGTCTGTTACAGTCTACTTGACCTGTACTCCCCTTCACTTCAGTGTGTGTATACATGTCATTATGAGTTGTCTTCAATTGGTAGGTCACGTCTGTCCTCCTACCTACTTTTCTTCCTATTCGTTTAAATCATTTTAAAGCATAGTACAAACCTGGTCAGATTGGTTAATGACTGTATCTTTGTCAGCCAATAATGGCAGATATGTGTAGTATTACTAATCATCGTCAGCTTAATGATGTGACTGGTCTTTTGAAACCAGGTCATCGTTAACTGTGATGCGTTGATTCATTTCACTGGTGCAGCCAACAAACAGTTTCTTTCATCAGTCTTAATTTTGACTGTTAGTATTTCTATGGTTTATACATTAGGTAGTAGTTAGTAGATGAATGAATGAAGGCCGACTGTATCATTCTATTTACTACCTATCCAGGTAGTGTATGCACATCACAGCACCTGTCTTTTTTCTCATAGAATCTCACAATCAATATTTATTGCTAAAATATGCTCAATTTCTTCTGTGTGTTATTGAATTGCCATTGTTATGAATATCAGTGATATTATCTGTTGAAGAGAGAATTTGGAACTCTTACTGACATCATGGTAGCTGTCGTAGCCTGACTTAGTCGTTTCAGAGGACACTATCCATTCGACCATGTAGACATGAGTCGAAAGTAACTGATTCAAACAAGGTGTCTCTGGAAATGATAAGTGAGACAGTAATAATGATTTTCAAAGTAGGCCAACATGTTAATTCGCGAAATAGTCATGTGATGTCATATGTCAGTACTCCTCGTAATACCTAAAAATTCAGAACCCACCAGTTACTGGATCGCATTTGAAGTCATGAAAATTCATCTCGAAACAGTACACTATTGTGTTGTTGTTATGTTGAATGTTATTTAGATGTACGGAGAACATGAGTAATCCCACTAGACAGTGATTATCCATTGCTATGGAGTGAAACTACACCGGCAAATTAAAAAATCCACTTATACAAAAACTTCAACTCAGGTTACATCGGTATGCTCTGATTACACTTCGACAGCACATAACTGACGGAAGAGGACTGGTTGTAGACAGATGTGGCTTCAGAACCAGCCTACATGTCACTGACTGACTTGCCTCACTCACATTATCGCGAGATTTGACAGATACTAGTTAAGTCAGACTGTAGACATTTTGAATTACTTCGATTTGGCGAGCAATTTACGTGTTATGATTATAATGATTCCAACAGATATCAGTTCATTTTCATATTCACCTGTCCGTTAGATTAACAACATGCCATTTGCCCCTTACTTCACAGTATGCCGCCTTGACCTCCGAACCATTTTGTTTTCCAACCTATAAATCTACACACGTCAAGTTGTTTGATGAATAAGTTTAATCTCCAGTAGAAATAAAAGTGGATCCGCATTTATTCAGAGCACCACAGACCTTCATAGCGTTACTATTATTCCCTTAGGTCCAGTGTGTAGCACAGAGCTTCGACAACACATCTCCATTTCATGCAGTTTCCTGGAGTCCTCTTCTGCCGGTCGCACAATTGCCTATAATCATTCCCCTCCTCCTCACACAACCTCCTCCATGTCACTCTCGGACGCCCAACTTATTGCTTCTCATTACCGTTCCGCTCAAGAGACTAGTGCGACGTCACTCAGCGGTTTCTTCAGCGTGTGCCCGATTCGCTTCCATTTCCTTCGGTATTTTTATGGGCGATAAGTCTTTGGTTAGTTCGCCCCATTTTGCTTAACCTTTCTGACTAACCAATTGAAGGTAGCTGTTGATAATAGTCTGCAATCTGTTGGAAACGCTTTCCGTGATGCGCCAAGTCAAAGAACCATACAGATAAACTGACTTGACATTCATTCTCAATACTGCACATCACAGAATAGACTGCATCCTTGCTATGAACTGATAAGACAAATAATTCTCATCTAGAAGCAGATGTCAGTCAGTCACGTATGTATTGTCTAGTGGAATAGTGGGCAGGGATATCTACCCTGTGAGTGAGAACTACTTACTTCTTGTCAAACATGAGAGCATTGTTAGCCTTCAATTCAAATGTATTCGACTAGATTACAAACAAATTCTACCTCACACGTCTTTGAGTATGCTTCTTCTGGCTATATGGGAGTATTGATCAATTACTCACAACGCTAATGCTGCTGACACTGGTTATGATGATGATGAAGATCGATTCTGGTGGGAATATGAAAATGACGCCAATGCCTATGTACAAGACAATTGTGATTGCTGAATGTAGTATATGAAAGAAAGACAGACACAGGATGCATTCATAATCATTAGTCTACGAAACCAGCATATGTTTAAATGTCCGGCGTACAGATTCGTTGGAGTAATTTAAGAAGTAAGATAGACCACATGGAGTGCGAAGTGTGGAGATAAGCAGTGAAATGTGATCGTCATCATGATGTTGCAGTAGACATTTTTTGTAATTAAATAAAACTGCATTAAAATATAATAAATTTGGGGGGTGACTATCAGTATCCCAGTATCAGACTATGTATACGCGTACAGATGCACACTCAGAATGCCTAGCTCGCTTACATATTAGTAGATAACTTAATAAATAATCTGATTTACAAATGACCGTTCAACGGTTACGCACAAATGTGCAACCTTTAAGAGTATGAAAGTTGGCGATCTACTTTTCTCTATTCTGAGGCCTACAGACATGAAGTAAACAGCAAGGGAGCTTTTCCATCTATTTCACTTGCTTTTAATAATGGTCGGTACATTGGTGTGTGTGTGTGTGCACAGCAAGTTTAAGGGACTGTGGTGAAATAACGGCATGTAACACTTAGGTTATATAACGAGAAATCAAAATCTGGAGATTATCAGGCATTCCATTAGGAAACAACACTTGTGAGATATGTGGAAATTGTCTTGTCACCGGAGAAGAATGTGAAAGAGTTAAAACTATCTTGGTCAATGCTGCAGTGTGTGTGTATGCAGGGATATTTTAAGATTCTTTCCCTTTAGGCTTAAGATGGTATGCGCGACTTGGACACCAGTATCCTCCTGAGATGTTTTCGAATTGCTCTTCCTCGTTTTCGAAGGACGTCATATAGAAGAAATTCACTCTGAGCTACCTAACTATTTCACTTACAATACTTGCACTGAAAATGATGACATTACCTTGATAAGACGACGGAATGTTTCCACAAATTCCTGACCTCTCTACTGAATGAATGGCGAGAACAAGTCGTCTAAAACATTGACAAGTGTCACCCATCCAATGACCAGTGAATTCAAAACTAGAAAATACATAAAGCAAGTAGTTCTGTGTGTCAGTTGATTCGTTCCACATCGTAGTGTGTAGGAATGTACTAGTTCACGTCCGCCTTCCAGATACCTGTCACCCCTTCAGCATTAAATCCACCATGCACATCACTCTCTCACTAAATGTATAGACAATGTTATTTCAGAGATAAGATGAAACCTACCATCAATCATGTTGACTCTTATACAACAATCTCACTAATCACGGGTTGACTGACAAACTGAAATGAACCAGCTAACCGATAACCAGTAAATCACTCAACGCACACACACATACAATGTAGCTTATTCATTTCAATACTAACTAGATGACCTGAAAGTCAAACAATTCACTTTACGAATATCGATCGATATTACGTGAATTTGTGTGTGTGTGTGTGTGTTTGATTTATTTTCATTTGGTTCAATGTTGAGATATTTGAAAGTCGTGTGTGTGTATATGTTGATCAAGTCAATAAATATTTTCTACTGAATGGAATACATTTTTATCAGTATCTACTTCAGTCTAACCGTCTTTAGTTGAATACACTGCCTTCTTATTAACTGATTATGCTGACATCACTCGCCCTAAAACCATCTCACAACATATTCCTATCGCGATGAATCTAATTCTCTTATACTCATTCTCTTTCATAGACATTATTATTCTCACCTGTCCGCCTCAACGATGATGGTCATCATACTTTCAGCTGTGTGTACCATCTCATGTCCATCACAACTGTCATTTGACTAACAATGTTAGGTGTACTTAGAGATCTGTGTGGCTCACCGTTGACGCAACACCATCATCCCTCACCTACATCTTAAGTTGCCTTCATCAATCTGATTCCTATCATTCCCATCATCATGGTCATTTTACAGTTTACAATTTATTTAGGATAGTAGGCTATATGCCTGTGTTAATCCTTTCGATTTGTTACACACAGGAGGTCCAATCTCGCCTTGAATGAATCAAAGGATGGCGCTGATACGACGTGTTCCGGTAGGGAGTTCCAATGGTTCACAATTCGACGCGACAAACGGATCTCCAGACGCAGACGATTCGACCGTGGTTTTTGAACCTTGAGGTGATGTACTCGCAATTGGTTGATGCTAGAGGGAAGAAATAAATTAGATAAATTTGCTCCAAAATCATTTCTTAGGATACGGTATGCTAGTATTAGGTCAACCCTAACCCAGTCGACTTAACCTCTCCTCATATGAGAGTGTTGAGAAACCCTTTACTGGCTTAGTTCCTACTCTTTGCACCCTTTCTAATAAGTCTATTTCGTATTTGAAACACGGGCTCGCTGCCTGGATCCCATATTCCAAATTAGGTCTGATATAAGTCGGATATAATATACGAAATACTCCAGCGTCAAAATTCGCAAAAGCCTTGCGTATGGCCCATTATATTCTTTTAATTAAATCTTCTCATCACTCCTTCCTACACGGAAAATATGTAGTCAATCTCGCCCTAATCTCAGCACACTATACCCACTCGTCCCACCCACCCCACAGACACGGCTAGCTGTCCCTCACTCATGAGTCAACACACAAATTTACACTCGATCATCTCATATGACATCACGTGACACAGACAGAAACTTCATAATCTTAAAATCGAAGTCAGATTAGTGGAATACAATGTGAAAATTTGCAATGTACATACCTGTATCCGACCGAAACAACACTGATGGTGGGAATACAAGTCGAAAAGTGTAAACACGTGAAGGATCGAATGATTACTTTGAGAATTGTTAATCAGGTGATGTGGCGAACAGTACACACATTGAGAGCAGGTCATGTGATGAACAGTTCT